CACACACACACACACACACACACACACACACACAGGGTCATTATCTGATCTCTCTTGGTCTCCTCTCTGTCTACAGCTTCATCCTTATCTGTGCAGAGATGCTCCTTCAGCCCGTGACTCTTCCCTGAGAGGTGTTTATTCTCTGCGTTCACGCGCAATAAAAAAATTACACAAACGTATTTTCCCCCCAATCACGTGATATAATAAAAGTGATTTTGACGGGAAACGAGTCGCGCTGATATGTATCTCTGATTTATTTGATTTTATGGTTTTATAATTTTAAATTAATGCCACGCTTTGTTGTTGTACAGATATAAAGGGACCATTTTAATAATAAAAAAATAACTGAATTTTATTTTACAGAAATCTGTGTTTTGAAGTTTGATTGGCGCTCACCTGCCTGTGGCTCGTCGACACACGACACGTCAGACTGGAACTGTTTCCCGCTTGATTGAAAGTTTGAAGAAGTTAAAGAGCCACTCTGTCTGCGGGTTTGTTTACCAAGCAGAGCCCCGGGACAGGACAAGCTCTCCGGCCTTATCAGCGGATTTGTGAATGGGGCAATAATGAGCTGAGTTTTGATAGAGCAGCGCTGTCAGGTCAGATGTCACTTCATCCATTAGCTGTTTGATGGCTCTCTTTGATAAACCCGGCAAACAACAACGCCACAACCAGTTACACTTAAAGGTTCCTAATAAGGTACGCTGTCGTTTTTTGAGCTCATCCTGGAAAACTGGCTGACAAAGTCTTACAAATTTATATAATTTTCAAAAAAGTTTCTCCTTTGTTTTATTTACTTTTAAAGCTTCACTCAAAAGCTACGGAGAAATAAAAAAGGAATAATTTGATGAAAAGCAGTATAGTACAGTAATATTTTTAAAGCTCACTTTATATGAAGTCATCACATTGCATGTTTTTATAATTTAGGATAGACTACATAGAGGTAGAGGACTGCCTGCCGCATAGAGCACTGTGGGTATTTCACGCGATTGTTTTGCACCGGTCAATTTGTGGAATTTGTATTTTTATGAAAAGCTCACGCAACATTAGTCGTTTTAAAAATGCACATTTATAAAGAAAAGCCAAAAGTAATCACTTTGATTTGAATCCGTTTTTTACTGTGGTAACTAAATCAAAATATTTGTAATTTTTGTGTTTGCCAAAAAGTGATTGGTCGTATTTAAACTGCTATAAATAACTTTTTGCCATATAATATGTGAAATATATCTCGAATGTATCACTAGTGAATGACATCAAGCCATCTTGAGCCACAAACAACATTTCTGTCACAAAGTAGAAACCGCAATCAGTTTTTGGCAAAGTGACTTTTAAAAACTTTATTTATCCAGATAAAAAGTTGACATAAAAATCTCTAAGAGTAATCTTGCCAAGAAGAAGAAATTGCAATAAATATAACAATAGTTCTGTAAACATATTTTACGTGGTCAAAAAGGACCGGATTGGTTATAATGTATAGGTGCAATAAGACACAGTCATATAGATGCTTGAAAAACAGGTGATTTTTAAATTGCATATATAGACCCTTTGTAAATCCTGCTCAATGAGGTCTGTTTACAAATACAAGTCATTTTAAGTAAAGATATTACACATAAAAATCACATTGAAACACTGGGAATCAGTTCTTGGCACCAATGAGGCTTCCGTGTGCTGTCTGTCAAAACTGATCTTACACAGATTATCTCAGGCGATCCAGGAGTACGCATTTGACTCGTGTGATTCTGATTGCAGTAAAGGGTTGCCACATTAAAACTAGCAACCTTAGAATAAAGATCTCGGAAACCTTCCTTATCTAGGCGATCGAGCATGACCAAGACTTATAATGGAGAGCAGTTCAGAGTCAGAAAGATAATAATGTAGTTCATTTTTATCGTGTTTGCGCTGACTCGCTCAGTCTACCTGTTGCAAAACACGTTTTAAAGATATCAGAGATACATGAGTTCGAAAAAATATGACATTTATTCTCAGTTGTTTTTGTATAAAAACACTGTAAGAATGAAGAATATTAACTATAATAAATAATAACTGTAGCTGGTTCAGATTCATGGTTTAAATAGAAAAACGGTTTAAAATTTCATTTCTAAACTTTGATACATTGATATATTTATCTAAATAGAATAAAAAGTTGTGCTTTTTTATCACCATTTTTTACTGAAACCCACTGATAACCAACCCCGTTACAGGGCTGGTTGTCACAGAGCGTCGTTGATGCTTCGTTAGTTTTTGTTCGATTCATGACTCATTATTGAAAGTAATCCAATGATCAGCAAGAGCAAAAGGTGTACCAACCAACCCCGGATTGCCCTAATTCAGAATTTGCGTCTAGACACAGAAAAGTATAACTGAATATTAAAGCGTTTATTCTTCATAATCGATCCATCAGAAATTTTTGAACAACGGAAAATTACAATACGACCCCACACCAACTATACAATATACATTTGATACTGAAATGTCTCAGTGGTTCCTGCTATACAGCCGTTTAGTCCCTTTATCACCAGCCTCTTATACCCTGTAGAGAGGCCTGAAACGGCCCGTGGCCGAAGTGCGTCTCGGTGTTTCCTGTTAAATCATTTAGCCGGCTGTTGGACATCTGTGCCGCAGAAGGTGACGCGCTGTGATAACTGCAGCCGTACACGCTGCTGTTTCCGTATCCAAGCGCGGGGTTATAATGTCCAAGTGTTACATTGTAAGGCGCTGAATGGGAACTGGCACCGCACAGCTTCCCGTCCCGCACCAGCACGGGAACCGCGACCCTCCTGGGTGCAGGCAGATAACCCGCCAGCTCCAGAGATTTGTCCTGCCTCTGACGTTTACATTTGTACCTGCGGTTCTGGAACCAGATTTTCACCTGGGTGGAAGTGAGCTGGAGCACGTGGGCCAGGTGCTCTCTCTCCGGGGCGGACAGGTAGCGCTGCTGTCTGAAACGCCTCTCTAGTTCGGACACTTGAGACTGGGAGAAGAGGACCCGGGGCTTCCTGCGCACGCAGGGCCTCTGGGGGGGTTTGTCACAATCAGATGGACTGTCGAACCCGCTCATCTCTGCACCACAAAACAAAAACACAGTCACATTCTGACACCATGACCTGTTTAAAATGATTTAAAATGATTTACAACGTTTTAAAAATAAAGCTTAAATAAAGTGGAAAGTTGTAGTAAAAAAACAACTAATTTGATTATTTCTGAGATTTTAAAGGCAAAATTTACAAAACATTGACAACATTAAAATTTTTTGTTTAGCTCACATTTAGTGAGTCTGAAGTCTGCAGTTTGCAGAAAATTGTCAGAATTTTTTTTAAAATGTATTAATTTAGGTGCCGATTACTTTAGGGAAACATTTCTCACTGGTTCAGTGAGATTTCTGTGGTCTGTTTAGGTTATCAGACTAAGATCTAAAGGGAAAATGAAACTGTTTCATTCGGCCCCGTCTAATTAACGCGTCCGGTATCGTGTTTTTGTGGAGCTTCCTAAATCCACAACCAGCGGCTCCTGAACTGAATCTGATTTTGTTGTCCATCGTGTCACCTCACCTTGCTCGTGTATCTCCTCTTCTGCTCCCGGGTTGTGAGTATCGAGTTTGTCAAGTATCTCCGAGGCTCGCGGCTCCGAGTGGCATTCATAAAAGTCTCTGTTCTGGGGCGCAGCGTGCACGTGCTGATGATGCAAGGGCACAACCTGGTCAGCCGTTAGAAAATCATGGTCGTAGTCGTGGTGGTGCTCCATCCTCAAGATATCCTTCACGGAAAAAGGTGTCGAGGTCGTCAAACTGGGATGCATGCCTTCCATTTCAGTGCTTAGATTTGATCCTCGATGAGCTCGAGCTACTGCTGCTGCTGATGCTGATGAAGCCAGAGAGATGTGTTAACTGACTGGTGAGTGAGGGCCTGATTTGAATCATTCAATGGTCCAAGCTAATGAGCAAGGTAGACAGTCAACATCAGCCCCTTTTTGACCAAATGACCAACACCCACAGCCTGCTCACACTACCCTGAAGCCCCAGCTTTCCTTCTCACCTTACAGAGACACCTTTCATCATGTCCGCCCTTCTCTCCCTGCGAAACAAAGGTGCAATTCCCGAGTTTAATTAAGAAATGAGACTTTTGGTGAGGGCATGTGTCAGTAAGCACACGGCCTACCGCAGAACACCTGGAGTTGCGGAAAGTATGAGCTAATTAGTTCATTGTGCACAAAATAAAGTGATTGCCGATGTTTCTATGCGGGTTTTTATGACTAATATATTTGTTCAAGCTGGAAATGAGGCTCCAGTAAACGTGGTTTACGAAAGGCTTATATATAAAATAAAAAAAATGAGCTGTTTTGCTAGTATCTCTCTGTTTCTGTGTTATATATGACAATCAACGTGGTCTTTTTTGCCCAGTTAAAATATCTTTATTGTTAGGATCTCTCCAAAAATGTTTGAAAATGTCTCTGTTTGAGACATGATTGACAGAACATATACCTGCAAATGATTTGTAGCAGTTTAAATACCTGCAATCGCTTTTTTGTTT